TGGTATCACTCGGCCCTGGAGTGCTGAGAGTCCGGGGATGTTCTGGACGCGGGGAGCTTGGACCTCGATGGGAACGTGTTTGCTGACAGCCCCTTGCCGGAGCAGGTCCCCCAGGGTCTCCTGGCTCGCCGGAAAGGCATCCTCAAGCACAACGGCAAGTACTCCTCTAGCAGCCCCGAGCCAGAGAGTCCACCTGGGCAGGTTTTTGGGGCCTTTGGCGAGGTACCCCTGCCCCAGGCACCTCGCACCCGCCCGTCCAGCGCCGTGAGCGAGGACAGCATCCTCTCCACGGAGTCCTTCGACCAGCTCGACCTGCCCGCCCGTGTCCCCCACGGTGGCGGGGGCATGCGGGGCTGTGTCTCTGCCGACAGCCTCCTCCGGCTGGGAGAGGAGGGGGGGCGCAGGCTGCGCCGCTGGACTGTGACCCATTGCCGGAGCCCCCTGGGAGAGAGCAGCTTATCCCTGGCGGGCTGTGACAATGTCACCGAGGTGTACCGTCGTGCCGTGGCTGTCGGCGTGAAGTTGAGCTGAGGGCACCTCTTGGCAGGGCTCCTCGCAGAGGGGTGTCTGCTGGGGAGGGGTCCAAGCCCTCCCTTGCCCCGGGGCTGCTGGTGCTGCTGAGCCACGTCTCAACGTATTTATTTCTACAGCCTCGTGCCTCTCAGGGAGGAGCACAGGTACAAGCAGGGATGGAGCTGCGGTGGCTGTGGGGCGTTGGCGGGGGGATGCCCCTGAGCCAGGACATTAAATGGACAGAAGCCTCGAGCGATCCAGCTCCTGGCCCTGTGGAGGGGGTGGGGGTCTCAAAGGCTCCTCGCTGCTGTCCTCCCTTTGCAAACAGGCTCATCTCATCCAGGGGGAAAAACAAGGGGTTGTTTTGTTTTTTTTTTCTCTTTGCACTGTTTTTTGGCTGCACAAGGTAGCAGATGGGGCAGGGGATATACCTCAAACGAGCTGGAGATGGAGCAGAGTGCTGGCGAGGGGCTGAAAGGTGCTGCCCTGGCTGCTGCCTGCAGGCTGGGCTCTCGGGACGTGCTGGCAACAGCGTCCGAACCCCCCAGGCCCTGGCTCTTCCCTCTCCTGCGCTGAGAAACCCAACTGGATCTTGTTGAAACCCCAGTCTGAGAACATGCTCTGATGCCAACGTTAGTTTTTGTTTTTGTTTTTTTTTAATGCTGAAAAGAGGAGGTAAAAAAAAGTGCCTTCAGTGAGGCACCACTTCTTTATTTATTGGCTGTGTCCAACTCGATGTAAAACTTCAGCAGCATGGGATGTGTCTGGCTCCATCGCAGCCTCCCAGATGTCTTTTGGGGAAGGGGGATGGAGGTGTCTGTCCCGTTGTCTCACGTGCTGCACGTCGAAGCTCCGTTGCACTATTGCCGCGTGTTCGCTGGCCCTTTCCCTTCTCCGGGGTGTGTGTGTTTTCCCCCCTCCTTCCTATAAAATAGTCTTGAGAAAACCATTAAATTAAAAGCAAATGGTAGATCTGAGTCGTTATCTTGATTACTCTGCCACTGGAGCTCAGCTGGGGGGTTGCAGAGAGGGGTGACGGGATGCTGCTGCCTTGAGCTGTGACTTGGCATATCCTGTAGGTGGGGGCTCAGCAGCCCCCCTGGGAGATTTTAAGACTGAGCAGCTACTGCTGCGTGACCCAGCGAGGTGAGGCTGGCTGAAAGCAGGACCTGCTGTGGGGGTACCGCGACTGGTGCAGCGATGCTGCTGGTGCTCTGCCTCTGACCCAGAGGGCAACAAAAATGCAGAGCTCAAAGTTTGGAGAAAACTGCGATGGAGGAGGATGGACCCTTTGTCCCCTCCTTGGTCAGCCCTGCTATCCCAGTTCTGCTCTCAAACCTCTTTTGTGATACTGGTGGTGTGTAGATTTGTGAAGTATCTGCAAGTCTTGGGGGCAAGAGGAGATCTGCCATGTCCTCTTGCTGCCTGCAGGTGCTCCTGCCAGAGGGAGGATGGAGCAAGGCTGAGCCCCAGCAGCCAGAGCTCAGCTGTGGCACATAACTGCAGGGCTGTCTCCTCTCTGGCACTTTCCCCCACCTTCCTTTATCCCCTTCTGCTGCGGCATTGGAACCAATTTTATTGCTCTATAAAGTGATGCAAACTATTTCCCGCTCCTGGTTGGGTTAATGAGAGGCGTTTCAGGTCCCCTCTGCCCCACTGCGGGCACAGGGCTGCCT